TATAAATCTCGTTACGTTAGCGATATTGTTGCTTCAAATTATGTCTTTCTTCCCTTTGAACTCCTATTTTGGGGATATTTCCACAGGTGAATAAAGAGATGATCAGTCATTCTGTCAATGCAGAGTAAAACTGGGGGTAGGAAATTTTTGCTACTTGTTTCCCTACTTCGGGCGTTTGCGGTATTCTGGGCATGTTGTGGTTTGGAGGGCTCGGTATTTAAAGAGTTAATTGCATTCGCCAAAACTTCCAGACAACAAAGATATTTATAGCACTCAGATTCGATAATTACAGCTTAGTCAGTGATTATTACTGTTAGAGGAATTACTGGCAAAACACAGGTTTTGAAACCTCAGACGGATCATTGAACTAATTCACTCGAGTCTTCCAGATCAGAACCCTACTGAAGTCAAAAGGCAGACTAATTTTTATTCTACCTACAGTGAGACACACTCCTACTTATATAGGCTTGACAATGAAATGCCGTAAACATTGGTTACCTTACTTTAAAACTCATAAGTTTCCAAAAACTGTCATTTTGTAGCCAAAATGGTCACCAAGAGGGGCAAAAACATTGCAGAGCCTTCCACAGGAATTACATTAGGCCTTATTTTCTTTCTAAATTAAAGTATAATCACGCAATTCGTTTGCAAATTTTCTTATTAAACTGATTATTTAGGGTCTGTCTGATATATATAGCCACATAAGCAAAGATTATTCACAAATTATACCAACATTTACATATTTGTAATAGGATTTTGAGTAATAAAAAAAATTGCAGTTTCTACTATTTTATAACAAGACATTCAATCTATGTAAAATATTTCAAACTACTAAAAATTTTAATTAAATACATATTATGTTTTATCTCCATAATAAGAATTAGTATAATTCATATGGGAGAAGGTTACATACCCATCAACAGTGCCATATTTGGTCAACAGATGTGTTGCTTCATCTCTAGACATCCCCCTGTAAAACCAAGGCTGCAAGAAATGGACTCCCATATCTGACTGCGGTCTAGCAGAGGGACTGGAGCTCAAATTTTGTGGGGAATTTCCACCAGGAGCTCGACAGTAAGGCAAGCGACGCTGAAATTTTGAATCATATATAAATACATTCAAGGCATTAAAGTTAGCCAAAATTACAAATTCAGGTTACAACATTTATTTCATTCCTTGTATAATATTTAATTTCTTGAAAAGGAAAATTAATTTCAAAGTAAAAGATTTTAAAGTCGATACCTTCCACGTATGGCCTTCAGCAGCTTCAATTGCTTTTGCTTCGCGGGGATCTTCTACTACACGGCTTTGAGACCCAGTAAAATCCATTGCCACACGGGGTTTCATTGGTGTGTAGTCCTAAATAAATATTTAACATAAAACACTTAATAATTAGGTAAATATTTATTAATATTTTTAATCATGAAAATACATAATAAGATTTTAAATAAATAGTCACAAGAAACTTAAGCAGTAAAATATTACCAGATTGAAAACTTCATTCACTTCAGAAATAACTTTTGCCATGTTTCAAGCACAACAAAAATAGGCACTCATTTTCCAGACTTGCCAGGAGGGAACGTAAAAAAAAAAATTGATTTAAAATGAATTGATCTTTTTCTCTCTCTCTCGGCTTCTTTTTCACGTTTTGTTTCTCCCATTTGTTTTTCTATTTTTTGATGGCAACTTAACGTTTTTATTTTAAATCATTTTTGTTTCTTCATATTAACATCTGGCAAGTCTTGAAAATGAACACCTATTTTTCATGCGCTTGAAACATGTCGATTGTTATTTCTTATTTGTGTATTTCTGAAGTGTATTTCTAAACGTGAATGAAGCTTTCAGTCTGGTAATACATAAAATATAATAAGAATATGTTTACATTTTCGATACAGAATTTAACACATCAACACTAATTTTGTGTTGACAATATGAGTTAAGGAAATGGTTTAAATGTTCCAAATATATGTGATGCTAACCAAACTGTTTGTGAATATAGTTACATGAATATATTTTTGTTATGTTTGTTAACTAACATTATATGAAAACATTTAATAAATATTTTTGTAAAAACACTGTGAATTGATGTAAAGGATAAACATTAGGACATTTGAAAACATTTAAAGAGAGATTTAACTTTTTCAATACTAACTTTCTGTAAAGTAATATTTGAATTTAGTATCTTTAGTATATGATTGATCAAGTCATAGAATTTGTTTAAGAAACCAAACAGAAAATCAGTGCAGTAAATGTTCCTCATAAAGCAAACCTTAAGATATGAAGCAGTATATAGAAGTTACAGAATTTTCAGTTAGTAGATAGATCACTTCACATATATTTAAACATATGTGCTAAACATTTGTGATATGCATCAGATCAATGTTAATATCTTCGAAATAATTTTTAATTAAAGATAATTTAAGAAACAAAAATCTGCATTTAAATATTCATTATTTACATGAAAAAATTCAAATTAGCGGGAACATGAGATATAAAATCCAACAAAATAATCTACTTTGGTTTGCTTTAGAGATTGTAAAATTAATGCAATTTAAAGAGAATTGAAGTTTATAGAATTATGTTACATAGAACTTTAACAATACAAAAGTGAGTAAAATAGTACTTATAGAATTATGTTACATAGAACTTTAACAATACAAAAGTGAGTAAAATATTACTTATAATTATGTTACATAGATCTTTAACAATACAAAAGTGAGTAAAATACTACTTATAGAATTATGTTACATAGATCTTTAACAATACAAAAGTGAGTAAAATGCTACTTATAGAATTATGTTACATAGATCTTTAACAATACAAAAGTGAGTAAAATACTACTAACAGCTGGTAAAGAATCAACAGAACTGGACACCCTATTTTCCATGGAAGTAACTGGACTATCTGCATAACGTGTAAGGACTTCTTTGTAATTCTCACGAATTTTCCTGCCATACTAGAAAAAAAAATTTTGTTAGAAATTTAAGTCTTTTTCATACAAACATATGTAATTAATTATAGTTTCATTATCAGAGAAGTTCATGCAAGTGTCTATTTCTTAACCTTTTGTTTATGGCTGGTACAGTTAACTAGACCCGAATAGCAGGTGTTATAATATAAGCAAAAGGTTAATCAATGAGTTTCACTTATGTAATAATTGTTTATTATTTTTCTTGATCAATTAGATCAGGTTTGTCTAAAGTAATAAAAATTAAAATTTTTATTATTTATCAGTTGAAAAAACTAGGGATGTTACAAAACATTCGGAAAAATATTTCTTGAAAAAGTTTTATCTTGTCTTTTATTAATTTGAATACATTTAAATAGAGTATAATCTAAAATCTTATTTTTCACTATACATTATTCAAAAAAGTTTTTACACTTATTTGTAAAAGTTGTACACAGCTTGCAAATATATGTTCTGGAAAACAAATGAAAAAGCGAAATATGAATACTTCAAACTTTATACTAAACAACGAGTTTTGTACTGCTGATTTCTTAAAATTATGTTTTGGCAAGTCAATTTAGTAGTTTTTTCTGACCCTTTTTTGTTTTAAGAATATCTTTTTTTTGTTGCATTTTTGATATTTTTCTTATAGCTTTCACTTTTTTCCTGTACGGAAATATAGATAACCGGTAACATAGGAAATTGTGATTTTCAATGTTAAAGTTATGTTTTTAGAGCTATGAAGTTTTTTTCTCTGTTTCTCTTTTGCTTTTTTTATTAACTTTTTCTTTAAAATTAATGATTTTATTATGCGGCAGCATTTTTAATAAACTTTATTCTTTTACCACCACCTCTTTGTTTAAAAGTCGAATTGAGGTTTTAAGTGTTAAATTTTTTGTTTATTATGAACAAAGGAAACGAAAAACGTTTCTATTATGATATAGCATTGAGAGGGTTCCTATTAGACTTCATTCTTTTTTCTTCACTTTTTTTGTGAAAATACACTAAATAGAAAACCAAGATGTTCAGCTTTAAAAACTTCTTGCCAGAATGTAAACGTTTGTTTTCATAGGTATTATTATTTTTTATAGGCATTATATTGAAAACACAACATTCTTTAATGTGCTTCTGATAGACTGTATTCCTTTTAACGTTTCATGGATACTTTTTTTCCCCATAAAATATTATTGTTGGCATTAAAACTTTTTTTAAAGAATTAAGAGGATTTCTTTTTATTCCACTTTTTTTCTTTTCAACTTGTAGGTTATTAGTTTTCTTTTCATAGCTTGTTTGTTGTTTTCCTATTTATTTTAAATATTTCTTATGGATAAACTATTAGATATTTTTCCACTTCTCCCCATATCAATAATGTAGCTAATGTTTACTTATTTTTCAATAATGACTAAACATATTTATATAAAAAAATAATATTCATTAATGATTTATTAAAAAAAAGTTGCTATTTGGCCGATTTTTTTAGTCGAATAATCGGAATTGGCTATTGTCAAAATCACTATTTGTTTCATCCCCAAAAAAAATCAGCTAAATTCTAAAATCTATCTATACAATCTTTTTCTATAATTCTGTAATCTTTGAAGATCAAGATTTCATTTTTCAAAAAATGAAAAAAATTAAAGCATAAAATATTGTTAAATCAAACACAGAAATTGTAGAATTCTTTGAAAAACACATCAAGGTAAAAAGGAGAAAAACAGAAAGATAGCAGTCATAAAATTAAACTTTTGAAACATATGATATATTGAGTTGAAAAAACTTTCTAGAAACTAAAAAAATTTTTATTCCAAAAATTTTGTTTATACAACAGGACATATTTTATGATAAAAAAGATTCCTTGATATAATATTTACAGATATTAAAGTGCAGAGCAATAAAATAAAATAATAGATAACATAGTAAATAAATTTCGTCATTGATGAAAGTATTAGATAAAAGAAGCAACATAAGTTACTCAAAAAAAGTTTTATCTAAATTACAAATTATCTATACTGATAAAATAACTGGAATTAAAAAACAATAATAGTATGGGCAAAACATTTTTAGATAACTGTAATTGTCAACAGAAATCAAATTTGTTTTCAAAATAAATTTGTTTCATAAGAATTTGAAACAAATTATCTATGTAAATAAAATAGCTGGTATGTTATAACTTATAATGTTCGTGGTGTATTTTTCGTTACAACATAAAACTTAGTAACATAAAATGCACTGTGAAAAGCAAAGACAAACAATAAAAACCAACAACAATTTAATACATAAATATATACACATTAATAACTTACAAAAAAAAGTGAAGCCACAATTAAATTTTATTTATGCAATTAACTCAAATTAAAAAAAAGTAATATTTTATGGACAAATGTAATTTAATGGTCTTGCTAAAATTTAGTTTCAATATTTTCCTATTTTTACCCCATAATTTTTTTTATTTGTAAATATTAACAAATATTTTCAACTTTCATTTTATTGATATGAAAAGCTTTTATTAACAAAAAAACTGGTTTAATGTTCCTGTGGTTATTAGTTTGACTACCTCTATAATAGATTATTTAATCTCTTGACTTAGATATAAAACAAGAATTGAAATTTATTCAAACCTTAGCTAATCGCAGTGCTACAATCCAACATTGGCGATGCTTCTCACTCTCACAGCACAGCCAAAGGAGATTTCTAGTATCCTCTTCAGGAAAAGACGTATTCTGAAACACATTAATTTAATTGAGCTATAAAAATTTCTTTAATGTTTATTACTCAAATAAAATTATGTAAACAAAAATAAGCATATGCAATACACATATAAATTTATAAGGATATGAAATTCTAGCAGACCTTTGCCCTTTAAACAAGGAAACTGCAATAATAAATAAATAACTATTATGTACTTGTTGCTTTTAAAACTAATCCAATTCACATTAGAGTTTTTTTAGCTACTAAGTCTTTACAGCTTTACATGATGAAATTGTTTTATTGAAATTGTATTATCGATTAATAGAAGAAAATGTCTGTGAAATCAAGACAACCAATTTTATTCATCATTACAATTATTCTTATGCAAAGACATATCAGGATGTCACTAAGTAAATATTTTTTCTTCTTCATTAAAAATTATTTGAAAAGATTTCGCATAACACATTTTAATATAAAAAATATAAGATTTTAAAAATAATTAGCAAAATGATGAACTAGATAGCGAATTCGGTTAACATTTATTCACGAAAAGTATAATAAATGAAAGTTTTAGGGAAATTGAGACAATCGGTTTCATTCACTCTTATCATCATTTCAGTTATTATTTTATGCAAGGAAAAACAAAGATTGTATTAAGAATTTTTTCTTTTTACCTTAATTTAAAATTGATTGCAAGTATTTTACTAATAAATTTAGCTATCAAAATATAAAATAAAATATAATTAGCATCATGATGAACTAGACGGCAAATTTAGTTAACAATGATCAATGAATAGCTCAGTGAATGAACATTTTAGTAAAATCGAGACAATCAGTTTTATTCATTCTTATCATTTCAATTATGCACAGACATATCAGGATGTCATTAAGATTTTCTTCTTCATTTAAAACTGATAGAGAAGATTTGGAAGGAAAAATTGAAATATCAAAATAAAAGGTAATGTCAAAAATAATTAAATTATTTTCATGATGAAAATAGATGGCAAATTCAATTAACAACAATGGCAAATGAAAAGTTTATTGTATAAACATTTTTAGTTAATCACACTATTAGTTTGATTCAATCTTATAATCTTTACTCATTTCAATTATTCTTATGCACAGAAACATCAGGATGTTATTAAGTATATATTATCAAATATAATTAGGATCAAGATGGCAAATTAAATTAACAACATCGATAAATGAAAAGCTCAAAATATGATAATTTAAATGAAACTGAGACATTCAGTTTATGAAATCACAAAAACAACAGAAAGTTGTTAAAATAATTTTTTCTCTCTTCATTGAAAGTTCATTATTAAAACTAAGCCTTTTTCAAATACAAACAAAATATCAACTTTTTAAATAAAGTGAGTAAAATGAAGGGAAATTAAATTTAATATATATATTAAAAAAAATTAAAAATTGCAAAGCAGTTAAATTATTTAGTTTTTCATGAGAAAAACAACTAAATGATTGAAACAAGAAACAAAATTAAACATAAACAAAATTATCTCCACAGTTTTTTTTTATTGTGATCTCAATTTCAAATAATTATCACATTTGATCAAGTAAAGATAAGTTGATTTGCGGTTAATCAAAACATTTTGGTACAAATTTTGAACTTCATTGCAGATAAGAATAAATCTTGCTCATATTTTAAACACACATTACTCAACACCAGGTTAGTTATTTTCACATATTTTTCTTCTTATCAGTTGCAAACATATCTTACTTTTAGGCAGAAGCTGTACGATGTTGGTGTAGCAGAACCGGAATTCTCAATTGGTGTGTAAATTTCATACTCTGTTAAATCACGAAACGGCCAAAACTGTTGTTTTCCATCCTGTAAAACAAGTAAAAAAAAAAATAGTTCAATTTTAGAACATTTATATAACTCTATATATTATGCTTAAAATTCATTTTATGTATTAGCCATATAATACACTATATTTAAATTAATGAACTTCATTAAAAAAAAACAGATACACAGTAACTTAGATCAAATGTCAGTCACATTGTCAGACTATTAACCAGTACTAAATTTAATTACAAAAACCTGATAGTTTAGTATTAAATACCATCTTTATACATAGAACTGATAAAAAATTTAAACTTCTGCTGTTTGTAAACATTATTTACAGTAGATGATATCAAAAGAAATATAAATCACAAATACTTTCTAAAATATCATAGACTTAACGTATGTACAATATTGCTACTTTCAGTAGAGTTATAAAAATAAAAACAATCACAAATTCAAAACGAATATAACGATCACAAATCCATATATTTAACCTGGATGAATAATGGACTAAACTAATTTATACTAAAATCAAAACATTTTTCTCTCACACATTTCTTGATAATTTAATCAAATTTCAAAAGAACACAAACACTTTAGCTAGCTCATGTGAAAATATTTTGGGACTCAAATTAAAATGAGTCTAATTAAGCAGGTTGGAAATAAATTGGTACAAAATTAATTGCTGATTGCAAGATGAATTGATTTTAAAAGATCTAAGAAAACATTAAATTAAGGGTAAAAGTTTTAAATATTTTATGTTCACTAAATAAAAAGGTTGTAAATAAAGAGCATATTGCAGTTTTGTAAAACTGAACCTAAACAATGTTACACAATTGTTATATAGCATAATTCAAAACTATCTAATTTTGACAAGCAATAACACATGGCATTGCAGAAATAAGATCTTTAAGTTTTATTTATATGTTTCATCAACCTGCAATTTTTTGCTTTTGTTTTCTTCTCACCTAACCGTAACATCTGTTCCTGCACCCCAGAGCCCAAAGTCAAGAAAATTGAGATGGGCACAGTAGGCCTTGGCCCTCTATAGGCTGTCGCACCACTGAGTTCAGCTTAGTTTGTTTTATTTCAATGTAAAATATTGAAACAATAGTCTAATTATACCCAACTAAAGTCCAACTTTTATGAAGGAATACCTGCAAGTATAACTGTGCTTTTAGTCCTCAAAGACTGCAATAGAAAAATTCATAGGTTTGTGTGAGAAATTCATGGAAAAGGAAAGAAAATTATAAGCAAATATGTATACATATTTTTTTTATAAAACCTGCTGATAAGCATGTAGCACACCCAACAATCAATATAATACTGAAACTTGTGTTTAAATATGATCTTTAATACATAAGGGCTAAGTTAAAATTATCTTCAATTAGCCATAACACAAGATTTTAGTAAAAACAATGTTAACTAATTGAAAAAAATCAGTACCTTGGAAGAATAGGATGAATTTGAGAAACATAGAGTTGAGCCTTCAATGCGAAAAAATATTCTTTTCCAAGATTCTTTACCTGGTTCTTTACACCATAGAAGACTTTGAACAACAGGTGACTTTTCTCCGTTATTCAATATATTCTGTTAAAGCAAAAAATTAGGATTTAGTAAACATGAAGAGTTAAAAACTTTTTCTTTATTCTTTACTGAGCAACAAATTTCAGGAATTATTCTCTTAATTTATATTGCACGAGAAAAGTAAAGGTTTGACCCTAACTTTTATGAGTCACTAAAAATAAGTATAGAATATTTCATTCTGGTATTCTTTAACATTGTTTTCTGTTACATTTCTCAAAATATATCATGCAATAAAAGCTCAATATAATGAGTATGACATATTAAGTCCACTATTAAGACAAAATTCCAAGTCACCTTTAAAATGCTAATATTAAAGATAGAAAAAGTTAATAACTAGTTAAAAATGTCTAGCTTTCCTCTATATCATAAAGTTATTTTTTTAAGGCAATTTTTTTTTTTTTTTGCTGTTTGCATTTTAAATGAAAATGAGCAAAATGTAAGCTACATTTATTTTCGATGTCAATGCAGAGAAAAGTGAATTGAGAATATCATTTAACCTTATTTTTTTCTTACAATTTTAAAATTTTTGATGGTTAAAAGGTACAAATGTGGGGAGGGGGGATGACAAGCCTTATGGAAGAAAAATTCTTCTGCTAATTTTAGGAATCTTGCTTTATACTTAAAAAGAATTTGTACTTGCTGACCTAACATCAACCATGTTTACTTATCTCTTTCTGTTGAAATTAATTAAGATATAGTATTTTTTTCAATGCACAGACATTACTCTCTGAAAAAGTATATTGATTTCTTTACGATATTGCAGTGTGAAAACCACTACAATAATACGATTCCAATGCACAAAAACATGTAATCTATCTTGGGGTACCTTTTCTTAAATTTTCATTTTTACAACCGTCGTTGAACAGCCGACCCAATTTTTAGGTTTATGTCTACTAATGTTCAACTCCATAGCCTTGTAATTTTGAACCCAACCCAGAAGACAAGGGAGCTCCTGGATCAAGTATAGGGAGAAATTTGCTTTCATGGAGGACTTTTGATGGAACTAACCCGTATTTGCGTTACATGGAGAGGAAGAACACGAGAACCTCCCACGGTTAGCTTGACGGCAAGGGGACTCTAACCCATGATCCGTCTACCACAGAGGATATTTCCAGTGAGCACTGTGCGAATTCATATCGACCAGCCATCACTGCGATTCAAACCCGGTTCACATCATTGGAAGGCGAACGCAAACGCTCTATCTTCTGAGCCACCAGGAGTACCTTTTGATTCAGAAGGTTGACATTGTCAGTAGACTTTTCCCCACATTTGTGAACTGGACGTGATCTGAACACGCCTACTTCGATAGATGGCCCACAATAAACAGTCGACTTGCTATTAGTGACTGCGACATTGTCCTCCTCGTACTGTTGCCACTAAAGTCTCCTTCACACACCACTGCAGCTTGTACACACTCGACTGCTGGTAGCAACAAAAAAGTGACTATGTACACAACCGCGAACTTAATAGCGCTCTCACCACCAGTACTCAAAATGCGGAACTTAATACAGTTCTCCCGGTCTTTCGCAAAACAGCGATGAATCAATGAGTGATATCCATTCATCAAATTTTATCCCAGATAAAATTTTGGTAGGGGAGTATTGTAGTGTAACTACCACTACAATAATACAATTCCAATTCATTAGTATATAAGATGTGTTAAGTCAATTCTATCTTGAGGTTCTTTTGATAGATCACAGTCGACATCATCGGCATAGATGCCCCACAATATAAATTAGATATTTCTTTCAAGGGACTAGAAAAAATATGGAATAAATTTTGTGGTATTTAAAACTATTCAATATAAACCAAAGTTAAAATTTTTTTTCTACTTTTGTTTTGAATCAATAAGTTTTGATTCAGAAATAATAAGTATAAATATTAAATTAAGATGAATTAATAAAACTAAATACACATTTAACAACAAACTTGAATAGTTCATATAAATCAATAACTTTGCATAATAGACATATAATTAACTCTAAATTCAAAACATAATATAAATATAACATAATTTAATAAAAATTGATAATAAATATAAATTATCAAAAATTAAAGAACTAATACAAATTAAATGACAACTTAAATCACCTGAAGGGTAACAAATTTTGCCAAATCAGGTGATTCTGAGAGACAATCTAATGGTATAGATCCTAAATCAAGCATGGAAAGTGGGAAGAATTGCTGAAAAATTAAATAGTTACAAATCAAGAAATGGAATATAAAAAAAATATTTTAAGTAGTATACATTTAGCTAGCATGGGCAAAAAGAATAAAAAATAACATTTTATATTCAAACAAATTACAACTTTGCATTAAGTCACTTTTACATTAAGCAAGTTATTTTACATTAAGCAACATTTAGTGCTTTCATATGCATTTTAAGTAAATAAAAGATCATATGATGATTGGAACACTAAACGTAGTCTCTCTCTAATATATATATATATTGCTCATGAAAATTTAATCTTGGATTTATATTCAATGGAATGAAAACCAATGACAAATCCAGAAATTCTATCTAAATCTAGAATTTTATTTTTAATAATTTTAGCACTGCCTAAATTTTTGTAAAACAGCACAATTTCAATTTCACCTGAAACAAGTTTTCAATATGAAATTTAAAAATTACATAAAATATTCCACAAAAGTTAATTTTAAGTTTCAAAAAGACAAAAAAGAAGGCACAATATTTTATAGTAATATCTAAGCGCATTTCTTATTCAAATTTTGAAATTAAATGAAGGTACAATTAATTTCAAAGAGTGTAGTAGGTACCCACTACTAATGTAGTAGGGCAATTCTGCCATTTACGAATGTTGCATTTGCGGACTCTAAAAACATAGAACTCAGTTAACAAAATTAGAGGGGTTATAATAATTTCAGTAAAAAGAAATCTTGCCGTATTTTAAATTTCTTTTTTAAAAACTAGGTGATACAGATGTAACACAATATGTTATAGACATAACAGGTAGTTCATATATTTATATTTTTAAAAACTTCTGCAAGTTTTCAAAAACTGGAGTAGGTATAGATTACACCAAGACTTATTTTCATAAAAATTATTAGAACCAGTTGATTTTTTTAAAATGTGTTACATGCTTTTTAATTTGACAAATACAACATTCAGAAAAGGTGAAATTGCCTTATAATTATCTAAAATGATTAGGGGGTCCGGAAAAAAATGTTGTTTTGGCGTATTAAATATACGTTAAGTGTTAAAAACCAATTCAGTTTTTTTTAATAACCATTTTTATTCATTTTCGATCCGGCATTGAAAGGTTGTTGCTGATGAGGGAGAATACATTATTAATTTAAAATAAAATCTTGATAACAAATATCAAATGCACCGAAACGACATTACTTTCCGGTCCCCCTAATACTAAGAAGAAAGTAGTGCTGTTATACCTGAGGTGTTCGGAAAAATTCATATTTACAAAAATCTTGTTTAAAGATGAACTTATTTTCATTTTCTGATGTTTCTTTTTGACGATTCCAAGAGGCATATACTTGCAAGATGTCTTCATGATCTTCTAAGCTGCGTTCTATGGAATCATATAAATGAAGGGGAAAAAAAATAGATACATTTGTTAGGCTTTCATGACAATAAATGCTTAAAACAAAGACTATTTGACAATGAAAGGCTATCTATACCTATCCCAAGTGAAGTAAGTTGTTCAGCCAATGTCCACGTAGGAGATCTTGAAACATTGAACTTCAAGGCAAGAAGTTGGCATAAGTCGAGCACTCTGAGATTCTCTTCAACCACCAATCTCTGCTGCTTACCATCTTCTGTGTAGAAGTTAAGTGCTACCTAAATAAAGAAGTGAAAGATATGTACAGTGTGCAAAAAAATAATCAAACCACTCTAACTTTTGATCTAATGATTGGATCTTCATGTTCTAAGACGCAATCTTAATGGTTCGAGGGGGTCAGATCAAATTGCAGATTATATTTTAAGTTACAAAATCAAAAACACACTTTTTCTGAATAAACATAGCTGTTTTTTCCGAAGGATTTGGATTTCTGACATCCAAACTGTAGAGGGCAGACACAATTTAAGCATTATGGTCCCAATAGTTAGGTCAGGAGAGCTTTTCAAAGTTTGCAACCCTAAATTTAATTTCACTTTTAGAGTTTTTTTACATATCTCGTAAACTATTTTCGTGAATTGATAAATTTTTGCACATAATCGAAAAATTAGTTTATCTAAAGATAATTCCATGCAAAAATTAACTTTCAATAAAAATTTATTATTTCATTTAACAACATTCGGAAAAAAGTTAAATTGTACAGTACTTAACTTTTTGCATCAATTTATCGAATGTAATTTTACATGGCAAAATACAAAATGTGGGCAAAATAAGTTGAAAAGTACCTAAGAAATCGAATTTTAAAAATAAAGACTTCTTTAAAATTCGATTTTTCAGGAACTATTTGACAGATTTCACTCAGATTTTATATTTTGCCATGTAAAATTACATTCTTTAAACAGGGATGAGATTAGCCAAAAGGCAAAAAAGCTGAATTTCCACGATAGTAAATTTCACTCAAGCGCAACCCTTTAACAATAAATTTCCAGAGAGTTTAAGGTAATAAATAATGTGTTGACATACAATTGCGTACTAATCAATTATTATATAAATGATTACATTGATACTTAACATTTAGTGAAAATAAAAATTACCAATTAAAAAAATAAAGCTGGAAATTATATTTTTCCTCAGTTCACATAAGAGACAATTATTACTTGAAAAACTACCTGGTTTAGCAAATTAAAACTACTGAGAATATACATTAATATTTCATTTCTTTTAATAAATACTGTTATGTGATTTATAGCAAATATATCAGTAATATTACTTTTTAAATTATATTGGGAAAAAAAACTTTAACAATGGACTGAATCATTATGTTCATATTATAGTCTAATCTAACTAGAGCCCTCTGAAACATATCAATAACAGTGAAGTAGAAATATATAGTAACTCCTTAACATACAAAAATTGCTATTTTAGTTTGAAAAATTACATGACAATCAGCAACTGTTTAGATAATTGTTTTTTATTTGATAAGAATTTTGCATTTTATAGCATAAATAACAGCAATTATAAATAAAATTTTGATGATGAGTTAATTAACTCTTTTTCCAAAAAAAAAAAAATTAAATTAAATCCCTTTTTAAGTGATTGCTTTTGTTTGCTATATCTTTTATGTTTGCTATATTTAGTCGTTAGTCCATCTTCAAACATCTTGTGACAAATCCTATTTTTTCTTCTTTGCAAGCACAGAATGTAAGTTTTGAATATATTCCCTTCCAGTTTCTCTGATGTTGTAACACTTACATATACTAATAATCGTCGTTAGAAAAACAGTCACCTTTATAGTAACTAATTTAAAAAAAAATTTACTTCTTACAAGAATCGCGATAGTTGATCTTAAAACAGCGTCGTTTGAACTACGAAAATCGGATCTATCTGGAGAGCGGGTAAAAAATTCGAAAAATCTTATCTGCTGCGCGTAAAAGGGGAGATAATAGGTAAAATAAGTAAAAATGAGAAAGGATTGGTAGCTATGTAGTTTGAATTTTCTGTTTCTCTTTGAAAATCGGCGAATTTTCTGAAAAAGCGGAATACTTATAAAAAAAAAGTGAAATTTTTGGAAAAATCTGAATTTTTGATAAAAAAGATGAAATTCAAGAGATAAAAGTGAAAAAAGGGGAAATCCGCTAAAAAGCGGAAAAATCTCATCCTTGATTTAAAATGATGTTAAAAATTTTATACTTTACAATCCAAATTTTTTCGATTAAAATCAAATAAAATAACGACAAATATATATTTACTAAAAGTTATTTTTGTATTGGATTTGAATGGATAAATGAATTTTATAATTGTGTGCACATTTTTCCAAATTCGTTTAAATAGTTCTCAAGATATGGAGAAATATGCAAAAAGGAAAAATTAACATTAAGGGGTCCAAACTTTGCACCGCTCTCCTGATCAACCAATTATTGGGACTTTATTTCCCAGATTGCGGCTACCCTATATCTTGGGTGCCAGAAAACCGAATCCATCTAAAAAAAGTTATTCGTATTCAGAGTACGTTTTTGTTTATGATTTCGTAATTTAAAATACCTTCGACAATAATTAATTAGCACATTTGAGCTCAACTTCTTGTGCCATTAAGATTGCGTCCTAGAATCTGAAGATCCCATCATTAGATCAAAAGTTATTCAGGGTAGTTCGTTTATTTATTTATTATTTATATCTCTGTGCAGTGTACTAACTGCTGTTATTTAGGGAAACAGACTAAGTTAAATTATAAAGAACTGAATCTTGTAAATTCGGATGGTCCTTTATACTTTACTGAAAAGCAAATTGATGTATTTTAAGTTGAATGAATGAAAATGAAGTTTAGGGAAAGATTTTGTAGAACAAGTTTCAAAGCAAAATTAATAAATAATAAATAAATAATAATAATAAACAAATAAATATTGTTTAATTATTTTCATTGTTTCATGATAAAAATGTGTGACATAAAATTTTCTGTTTAGTTTTAAGACTTTTTATTTTTAAACTTTGGATTATATGTAACATTACTCTTTCATAGCTATAGTTAGTTTAGTAAACTACAGCACCAAAACTTTTTAAACTTAAGAGAAAATTTAACATTACCTTTTAATGGTTCCAGTTAGTATAATTCTTAAAATGAATTGCGTTTCATTTTATGTGAAAGGTTATTAGCCCTAAGCCACAAAATATGCGTGTGATAAAAATCGGTCGCGTTTAAGAGCTCAAAAATTAAATCAGACAGTGTTCAAAACTGAGCTCAAGAATTTATGTTAGTCATGAGAAAAATTTTATGTACTGTTAATAATTTGGGTTTAATTATGTAGGCATTTATAAATAATTTGATATTTAACTACTTAAGGTTTTTCTCTTACAATATAAAAAGATAATAAGTTTAACATGTTTTTATGAGATTAACGATGGTTGATAGATTAATGCATCTTTATAACACGATAATGGCATTTTAATACGTTGACACACGAACAAATTTATAATCTGAAATATAGTATCACGATACAAGGATAAATAGGGAATACCGTACTATGTGTTACAATGAATATTGAGTGATTGATAATTATAGAAAACTACAATGTCGTGGTCATTAATGAGAGCCTAAATGTAAAATAACACGATAATTTTATATAACGATAATCGTGGAACATGTAACTTTTTTTAAAATTGTAATTAAAATTTTCTAGACGATTTAGAAAAAATACGTATTTTATTTGACTTGGATAATGAAATTATTGTTTAATGTAAAAATTATGCTAAATAGAAAATATCATTATACATGATTAAATTTTGAAATTTTATTAAGATTTCTAGGCATGTTAAAATTTTAATAATCATAATTGTTCTAAAAAGATGGCGCAAAGTTAATAATCGACAGAAATAGCAAAAGGATGACAGGAAGAAATGAATACAATAGAAATATGAAAATTATGCTATCGATCTGCATACATACAAAGCTGTTTTTTCCAAGGTCTGCTCTTTTTGATTTTTTGAAAGCACTGAAGCATGAATATCTCAAGAAGGCAAGAAAATTTATGATGCTTGATAAATTTTTCATTATCGACGCAAATAGAGAATCAAAGTCAAGCAAATAAATAGTTTGAAAAAATGGGTTATAGAACATTTAAAACGAATAAGTGATTCATGAAAAATGCAAATCTTGTTTGATCTTGAATAATACATTTGCAAGATCAAAAAGGAAATAATGAATTTTTAAATTAATTTTCACAAGGATAGTTATTTAATATATGAACTCAGCAAAATATAGCAATCTATGAACTTTTTTTTTCGAATGAAATTTACATAAATCACATATAGAAAGGAAATTTTACAAAAAAATTTCTATTTTGTTTTGTTCATTAAGCTACCTAGAAAGAAAAAAATCTGCATCTGAGGTAGGCATGGATGAAATTATTTTGTATTAAACTTTTGCAAGGTAAACATTAGAGAACGATTACAAATAATGCATTCTAAAGAATAAAACAATTTTAAACTAAATAACGTACAAGTGTTAAAGAACTATAAACGGAAAACGATGTTCACGAACTAAAATTTATTTGCGTAAGAGCAAACGATTCCTAAAATTTCCTCTTTTACAAATCGTTTGCTCGAAAAATATTCTTTTGTTCACTTTTAAACAGTATTTTAAAATGAAAACTTCCAAAAACTAAAGTAGCATGTGAATGCAGTCACATAGTTTGCATAGATTTGAGCGAAATCTGTAAGCTAATCCTAGTATAATTTTTATTTTAAATTTTCAAGCGAATATTTTAAATAGACGAATAGCACACCCAATAATCAACTGTCAACAATGAAATGTACCAAATTTTAGGAACTTCTTACCTCTCGTGGTTCACTGGCTGATTTTTGGCTAGCATAGGATGAAAATGTATCAGATTCTACGGAGGATGCGGACGTACCAAGCAACAACTGATACGAGATGTCGCCTTCTTTCGGCTTTCCACACCTAAACAGAACAAAAATAACATTACAAAAATAATTACAGAAACATAATATTCAAAAAAAAAAAAAAAAATTAATAGTNAAAAAAAAAAAACAACAATTGTAATTACAAGCACATATGACCAATCTGCTTTTCTACACACGTGTACATCTCACAAGGTTTTTACATAACCAAATTCAATATTAAAGTCATCATAAGTTAGAACACTAGCAGTGAAATCTTGAGGCAACGAAATATGAGCCCAGTATAAGTGAAATTGAGTAGTCAAATTCTATGTGTAACACTAAAACATAGCAGTGAAATCCTCAGAGAACAAAATATGAGTCAAGTATAAGTGAAATCGAGAAGTCAAATTCTATGTATAACACTAAAACATAGCAGTGAAATCTTCAGAGAACGAAATATGAGTCAAGTATAAGTGAAATCGAGAAGTCAAAATCTTAGCAGGAAAGGTAAGGAGGGAAAAAGGCACAAAGCCAGAAGAGTGGGACAAGTTACAGCATCTTTATTTGATGTTGCAATTCGTTTCCCAAAGCCCTTAAGTGTTTATTTACCCATTGCAGGGCCTCCCGAAGGCAGATGTGTTTAATAAACTAAGGACAAAGGAATTTTATTTTCCAACAAAAAGTTCAATGCCAAATATTTAGTTATCAAAACTATAAATTAAAAACAGGTCGTGGTGTGGTAATCAACACCATTTAGGAATTGGTACAGTAAAAGATATAAGATAAACTAATTGGTAAAACCCCAAGAGAAAGGTTGAAGAAATTGTATCTTAGTTTTTATCTTAAATTATTTCTGGCTCAGTGATTTGAGGCGGTACTAGTTTGACTTTTTAACGGACTTCTTTTTTTTTTTTTTTTTTTTATTCTTTAAAAATNTTTTTTTTTTTTGAATATGTCCAGACGCTTACGGAAATTTGAACATTTAAATGGATTACTTAAACAAGAATGTATAATTTTTTTTTTTTTGATAATTAATAACACTAAATAATGTCTTTTAAATGCTACCAATAATAGACATCCTTAATAAAAAGCTAATATCCACACTATATTTTATTACAGCTTTAAAGCCATTTTTGCTATCAAATTTTTTAATTAATCATAATTTTATTAATTTAAATTTTATTAATTATAATTTAAAAAAATTTGCCAAATTTTAGTAAAATAAACTTCAGTCACACTTGAAACGTTTTTAAATACAACATTTTACATGTGAATATAAACATGCACGTTTTGTTAAATGTTTACGTGTATGTCAATAAAAAAAAAAATTCATTATTAGAAGAAAAAAAATGCATTGAAATCAAAATACTTTCAAATTCAGAATACTTGGAAGAACAAAAGAAACGAATCAAAAAATGCGATCAATCGCAGACGGTCTCGCACGCATAAGAGAAAAGACAGACAGGATGTTCAACGTCTAAGATATTGACTAGAATCCTGGAATATCTCGATCGAAAAATGGACATTTTTCTAAAAAGAAATTCGATTCTTTTTTCCTATCTAAATAATTTTTTTTTAATTTTTAGATAGAAGTCATAGTTTGCAAGCATGAGAAACCAGGAGTTAAACCAGAAAATATGTTATGATATAGACATACTTATACCGTTTATGAACGATAGCGACATGAAATAGTCATTAAAATTCTTCATTCTAATGAATTTTATAAAATATTGATAGGACACTTGACTTGCATTTTTTTTAAACCAACTACAAATTACTAATATTTTAAAATAAGTTTAAATGATAATTTTTTAATTTAATTATGGTAGATGTAATAAAAATCCTCATAATATTGCTATTTATCTAGTCTGGTCTCAAAAAATAAGTCTAAGTTATAGTCTTATATTACATAAAAAATTGACTATTGCTTTAAATTTGTTAATCACTTAAATACTTTATAAGAATAGATATTAAATTTTTTTAGGTTTAGAGTAATAAGACACAATATGCGATTATACTAACACTTACTAAAAAAAAAATCCGATTCAATTTTTGTTCAAATATTTAATGGGAAGAATAAAATATTTCAAATAAATTTCTTGAATTTGTTCTTGGTGTATGCATATGCTGAAATGAAAAAATGAGCTGTAATGGCCTTAAAAAATGAACTGTTTTACTGGCAAGAACAGTTATAATAGAAACGCAATTCTTCATTTTGAATTTGGTTGTTTTATTTTAAACTGAAATGCTTGATGAAAAATACTTATGGAATTTTTTTTATAAATGCACATTCTTTTTATAAATTATCTGATACATCGTTCATTGTAATTAAAATTAAATTTTTTTAGAATTTTGCTTTTTTCATTTGGTGTAACAAGGATAAGTTTAGTAAAAAACAAAAAAGCTGAAAAAACCTGAAACACATATGAAGCACGTAGGAAGCACATATTCCTAGAGTATTATAAACGTTTTATTAAAAAATATCGATGCACGATTTTATTTTAAATTACGTGAAATTAAATACGAATTTTAATGGAATACGAATTTTGATGTGTGATTTTTAAATTCTGTATATACGAATCCCGAAGAGATATTTTTAAATCACATTAATATGAATCGAGATGTATAATTTTAAATCGTGTGAATGCGATTTTAAGTCCCATTTGCATATGAAGGAAAGGAAAGAGAGAGAGAGGGAAAAAAAGGAATATATATATATATATATATATATATATATATATGTGTGTGTGTGTGTGTTTTGCGGGGGAGGGGGGGGGAGTAATTTGAAAAAGTTGGAACTTTCTTTGAAAAGGCAGAATTGATTTTTCTTGTAATTAAATTGAAGAAAAAGCGTAATTCNCCTGTTTTACATAAATCATTTCACCCAAACAGCCGAAGTATTAAAAAGATTATGGATTGGATATAAATATAATTATTACTGGTTAAAAATAGTCCTAACTCTTGGAACCCTTGTGAGTATCGCCTACCTAACGAAATAAATTGAAATGATTTAATGATTTAAATGTTTTGAATTTCTTTTATCTTTCATATTGTTTACAAGTCTCTTTGAGAGGGTCTGTTCTATATTTTAAGCATTAGGAAAGCATTTCGTCGATGTATGACGACGTTCTCAAAGAATTTCGTATATGGATCTCAGGTGAAGAATTCTTTCGAATGAGTTGTTCGTGCCATATTTTTACAAAGAGGTAATCAAATTCATTGCTTCCAGAATTCCATTTGTAATATTTGTTTCTTCTTAGGAAAGAAAAAAAAATTAAATTTAATGAATTTAACTGTATCACAATATATTTTAACAGTGTATCAATGGTTAACTATAAGCTATATAAACTTTTACAGGAAGTTATTAAATTCTAAAACCAAATAATAATTTCAAAGTTTCAAATCTTGCATTTTAAAATGATGAAATCTTTGCTAATATCAATTTTCGATGGTTGCAAATTCAAAATTATATACTTTGCCTTCAATAAAACATTATTATTTTTTATTTTAAAGCACTTTTTTTTAATTGACAATAAATTATTTTTCGAAGTTCGAAAGTCTTGAAGCAAGCTTATTTCAAAACTTAAAACTTTTATTAACACTGTATATATTACAATGTATTAATTCATTACTTCTACTCCAGTATAATAACACAGCAAATGCTTTAGGCGAGTGTTTATTTTCTAAAAAAGAAGTAGTTACTTCTGAAAAAAAAGTACATGAAATAAAACATACTTATGATTAAATTAAGTGTTGACTGCATTTTAAATAAAATAACTAACTATGTATTGACGTTGCAAACATTAAGTTACTTAAAAAATTAAGATTTTTGATTTGACAGTGACCGACCTTTCAGGAAAAGTTCAAGGAAATCGGACGCAAATAGATCTTTTATTGGAACTTGAAGTTCATTTAATGATTTACTTAACATATTTGACAGCAAACCAGTTTAGAAACATTATTCAACAATGAATATAAGTAGGAAGTTTATCCCAAGTTTCAGCAATAAATTCTTCCCATAGCATCTTCCCTGAAAGTAATGTATTAGTTTAAAATACAAATGAAATGCGGTGATTTGGTAAATGTGAGTAAAGCAAGTACCTACGCCTTGATCCACTAGGACTGCTCCCGGTGGTGTCCTTTTTCTCATTTATGTTATTGCTTTATGGATTGGGTCGAAGTCATCAAGAAAATTATAACTACAAAATTTTACAATGATGATAAAATAAAAATAATCACCGTAAAACTTAAAATACAAGTAGTAACCGTTATGGGAGAAAAAACTAAAATATTTTAAAAAGCATAATTAATTTGTTAGATCACTAAACAATATAAAAATTTCAATAAAAATGGCTGTATTGTTGTTACTCCGACTTAAACAAATTTTCTGTTGTTGCATCCGAATTTTCTGAAATTGACGGTAGGGTTGAATACGAGTAATTCTGTTTTTTCCCCCCCCCCCTTCTTTTTTTCAATTATGAGTCAGATTAGTATGATTTTCGCGATGATGACATATTTTCTGCAGCGTTCGAGTATCATTACGCATACCTACAACAAACGACAATTATTAATCTTAAAGTATTCAGAATCATAGCAATAAGTAAAAAATTTTTTTATTTAAATCGAATTTTTAGTTTTCTATGCTCACTGTCTTGAAAAATAACTCCTAAATTTACAAATGTTTCATTTTTCTTCTTCTAGATTTTACAGTATATATAAAATAGGTAGTATGCTTTGAAAATACGAATTTTGTTAAATAGAGTTTGCGATTTGGAATTTTTTTTTTAATATTAAATCCAAGGAACAACGGAAACTACATCAATATTATAAGTAAACTTTTGAGAAAATTTGATTAAAATTGATTTATTCTATTGTTTTTAAATGTATCTATTATAAGCATTTCGTTTTTAATTATTTTAAATTTAATTAATATTTTTACTATTTTAAATTTAATTAAAAACACTTTATTTTAAATTTAATTAATTATTTCACTATTTTAAATTTAATTAAAAACACGGAGAATTAAAAAAGAAATAAATATTAATCTAATTTATTATGCATGGGCGTTTTTTCGATTTGTATTTTGAAATTGGTCAAAATTCAAAAACGATTTCTCCGATTTTAACACTTGAAATAGCTTGATGGTCTTTAAATTTTTTAAAATGTTATTTAATTATGAACTTTTTTTAATAAATCAACTAAAGAAACACGTTTTATAAAGCATTAGTAAATTATTACACAGTGGTGCAAAAAAAAAAGTTACCGATTTTTTTTCCTTATCGCTTATTGTAAGTATAATTCTACAAATAACTTACAATGGGTTGACAGTGAGCAAGTTGCTCGGCCTAGGCAGTTCAATACAGCTCATTCTTCAGATGTCAGAGGTAAACCATCGCCCTATAAACACACGATCAAAAATCATTTTAATTTTTGAAAATTATTGCTAGAATTCTTTTTAAAAAAATATAAAAATTCGAGTTATCTCGAAAATAAGAAAAACACTTTTGTATTTTAATTAGTATAAATAAAAAAAAAGTTGGCTATATTTAAGTGAATATGAATTGAATAAATGCTAACAAAGTAATTTATTAAAAAAAAAAATTAAAATAAGGATATACCTAGATTATAATAGCTTACGATACATTTGTTCTCAAAAAGGCAACACTGGGTATTTATACATTTCGCCTATTTCGTATGAATTTTATGAAACGATTAACTTCAAATTTTTTATTTATATATGTATTTGCAAGAAAGTAACTTTTTTCCCACGACTTATAAACAATTATAACATACATTTTTAGCTAAGAAATTTCATTAACAATTATACTTTTTATAAACGAGAGGGGGGGGGGTGGCAATCAAACAGTTCATAATAATTAAAAAAAAAAAAAAAAAAAAAAAAAANAAAAAAAAAAAAAAAAATGAAGTTGTTTGAAATTAGATAAATTATTTTAAAAACAAAAAACGACGAAGAAATGATAAATTAGATAAGGAATATCTGACATCACAATAAATTCTATCTTTTAACAAGGGATAATTTCCAAATTTAAAGTTAATTGTATGTTATAATGTAAAAATACATATTAAGCCTAAGAGACCTAATAAAACATATATATATAGCATGCATAACAAACTAATGCATATTTATTGACGTTTAATTAAAAAAATTAAGGAAGGAATGTTATTAAAGTTGTTACAGGAAGAGGATTCTAAACAGTTGGGGGAAAAAATAAATAAAAGAGAAGAACTAATATTTCCATTTCCGAAATAAAAACAATGATCAGTGAACTACAAGCGGGCGATCGTTTTTTTTTTCTCAATCGATGCGGAAATAAAATAATAGTGGTAGTACTTTCAGAGATGATGTTCCTTATTTCCGTGTGCATATTTCCTTCATTAGGTTATCGGGGTTAGATTGATTAAATAGTTCTATTAAAAAATTTATNCATTGAGGAAGGAAGGATATTTCCTTCATTAGGTTATCGGGGTTAGAAATATATATGTGCTTTGATTAAATAGTTCTATTAAAAAATTTATCGGGAATTCCAAGTCTTTTTTTTTCCCATCTAAATTATATGGAACTAATTGTGGGATTTTCATCAATATTAAAAAAAAGTAATAAACATTTTTGACTAGTTCTAATTAAATTTCTCTACCACGTTTTATATCATTTTCACAAAAACCCGTAAACGTAGAAGTTCGGAGAACATTATCTTTTTGAAGTACTTCAAAGGTTAAGAAATCTATAATATTTCATTAAAAGTGTGGTCAATGCACTTTTATTTTCAAAGAAACGTCACCCCCACCCCTTATTAGGCTCTTCACAAGGTTACGGTTACACACATTTTGTGATAAGAGCAAAATAAACAAATAAAAACTTAATTCATTCAAGAATTCATCTAACTTCACGCCAGAATGACGCGTGGCGTCTAAAGTCGTCCAATAAAAATTAGGATTTCATCATTCCCTATCAACGTAGAAATAAACATTTTTTTTCTCCAGTTTTTTTATGATAAGACAAAGTTTTTATTAAATACGCAATCTTTATCCAAGAGATATTTACTACGCATCAGCGATTCGTCGAACTTCCTCTTAAGGGTGTGAAGTTAATCACATTTATTGAAGAAAAATATTAGAATTAGGCAAATTACTGTGTTTTACGTACTAGGTTATGTATTAAATGACGCAAATTTGTCATAGTTGTCGCGATCATTTAAGTCTAACTCGACATACATAGTTTGTAATTTCTCCAATTCATCTTTTAACAGAAAAATTCATAATTTCATTCATACATTAATAAAAAAAAATATCATTTGACAAGCAGAAAATAATTTCGTTCTATGTATTTATATAAAATACGTACGATTGGTGGCATTTTTGATATATTTTTAAGCGATATAAATATAAGCTAAGGATTTACTTTTTAGCAATTAAAATTCAAATTGTAGATCAAGCATTTAGTAGTGTATGGCAGATTTTGGGAAGATTTCTGTATCATGGTCTGGGCAACTTACCAGTCAAGCGGCTCGCGGGAAAAAAAAACAACAAAAAAAACACTAGTTTTCATAGCTACCCCCGGATAAACCTCCACGTTTTCTTTCTTTTTTTTTTAATTGCAAATTTAAAATCCATTTAACGCTTTGGCGGTTGTAATTATCGTAAAAGATCACAACACGGAAATATCACCCAGATTTTTACATTATTAATATCAAAATATGATAAAAAATATATAATGTTGAAAAATCAAAATTTATGGCAATTAAAATTTATAAACCTCAAGAGAAATTATATAAAATTAATACGAATTGTTTATTTCAAATTTGTTAACCAAACCATTAGTTCAAATGCCATTAACCTATGTTTTTTTTGTATTTAGAATTTTTTACCCCTTCATCTTTTTGGCTTAAAGATTACATTGATAATGAAATATTGTACACATCATAACGTATTAAACATGAATAATTGAAATTCAACTAAATTGTCTGCCTTTTTTCGTAAAAGTCAAGAATCTGGTACTAGTGCTTAAACAGCTCCGGAGCTGTGTTTCTTGGAGCTTCCGGAACCCTAAATTTTCCCAAGCTCTAGTACTCCAGAAGTTTCATTGTTTGTATTGACATTAAAGAGACCAGTCGCATTTAACGGCATTGCCTGTTGTATAACTTGCTATAGAAAGACTGTTAAATTATCTACCAATACTATTATCTATTATACTATTAGATTTAATTATTTTCTCAAGATTGAACAAATAACTCAATTGTTTATAGAACTTGCATTTTCTGTGTGAGCTGATGATATTATTTTGTAATGCACCTGCTTATAATAAAAATTTCAAATTAAAAACTTAACTTCAAAAGCGCGCATATAAATACAGTAAAATATCCGGAGCCTTAGCGGAGCTGAATTATCGAAGATTTTTCGGTTCCGGACCCCTGGTAAAAATTGAATGATAACTGACAATTAGATATGCTATTATTACCTATAGAGATAATAATAGCAATAAAAAAATAAAGCTTCATGTTATGCAACATTGCTACAATGACGTCGATTAACATAAAAATCACGAAATATTAAAAAGAATTACTGAAAATCAGTTATATTTCATTCCTTTAACATAATTATTGCAATGGTCTTGAAATAATTGAACAATAAAGTTAAATTTATATTAAAATTCAGATATTAAAAAATGCAGAGGAAATAAAATTTCGATGTAACAGAATTTTCAAATAAGTATTAGAATATTGGATATTTATATGTTGGAATGCTGTATATGTTGGAATCTTTGTTCGCCAAGGTTGGAATGTTGTATAGGTTGAAAAGTCATTAAGGCACAATGTAAAAGAAAAACTTAATTATCTGATTTTTTATGTTAAGGTTAAAAATTAATTTTCAATTTAAATTTTTAAGGATTACATATTTTTCTACTGCAATTATAGTGTGTAAGCTGTTCAAAATTTGAAAGCTATTATCAACACTATTTATTAAAAATAATATGACGGCATAGTTTTTCTCTATTTTAACATTAGTTGAAAGCAGGTTTAAAAATATTATGGTGAATTCAACGATTGAAATCAATGATGATTAAAGTAAGAATGAATACATTTTTATTTCACGTGAAAGCTTGTAAGTTCACAAATCAAATTATGTATAAAAAGAGCAAAACGCATTATTAAGAGCAATCAATGACGTCGACGTATCGAACTGCTTCGCTGGCAAGATGCCAAGGAAACTGGATATTACGTCATAGAAAATTATTCAAGAGTTTTGTAAAGGAATGAATGGCAAGTTATTTTATTTGGTATCAAACGATTTTGAAAATCCACAAGGAAAAATTCAATTAAATGATGCTTAAAGATTTATCTACAGCAAACTAAAACTCCTGCACTCTAGAATTCAATTTTTAAATCAGAGAAAGCAAATTAATTTGGCATAAACGTGTCTGTATATTTTTATTCCACAGAAAATAAAAATATCTTTAACAATGTGATTTAATAATCAGTTAAGTTAAAACTAAGATTCTAAATGTATCGATACTACAGTAAAAATAATATTCTAATCGATACAACAATAAAAAATAAATCGATGATGAAGAGAAACCCAGGGAAAATTACATTGTACGTATTTACTCAAATTTTATTGAACACTGTATTTGTTAAAGCATGATTGCGCTGTAATTTTTTAATGTTTAATTTAATTTGTCATAATATTAATAGCGTTTAATTTAATCTGTAATAATAATAATGGTTCCAAGTTAAGTTTGTTAGAATAATGAAACTTAATCTAATTTCTAAAAGTTCTATTGTGAAATTTTTTTAAAATTATTTTATTACACCTGGTTTATGTTTTATTGTGCTTCAATGTGAATCAAGAAAGTAACAATCTTGCAAACAAGGTTTATTTATTTACTTTTTTTTATTATCTAATTGTCTTTCGAAATTTGAAAGAAAAAAAAAGGTAAAAAGTTTTCAAATATATTCGGTAAATTTTCAAGGTTCTTCTTGAAAAAGGTCTACTTTGTGTTAACCTATGGAGAATCATATGAACACAATTTCCTTATGGAGTAAATAGTTAATACTTTAATATTTATCATTTCATTTCACTTATGGAAATTTCTTATGTTTTGTATCTAGTAACTAATTTTGAAGATATGGGCAAATTTCAAAATTAACAAAGTTTAAAGATTAAACTAGACCTAATAAATATTTAAAATTAAACCTACAAACTTAAATACTGAAATTTAAAATCTTGGTCAGATTGAACACATTTCAATGCATAAAATGAAACAACAAATAGTAGGAAATATTAATTGGCTACTTAATAAATACGGACATGGCAATCTCTATAGGTTAATATAGTAGATTCTCCAAGGTTAATATAGTGTAATAATGGCAAATTCTCCA